AAGACTGGGTTGGATGGATGTTGGACAAATTATTGTCAAATGACCTCCCAAGCCATGACGTTAATTCAATTTAATCCCCAGTCGGCTTTGGCAAATGACTGAATGGAAAATATAGCACCACAATAGAAATGACCCGACTTGAAGCTTAATTGGACCATCTGAAGCAACCTAAATATTTTAGTGTTGCTCATAGTCCAACTCGCTTGGATGGCCAACATAAGAGAAGCCCACTTGGCAGCCCATTTGTCTGTTGATTGGGCCTTACTTGACCCATTATTTACCCTATTATGACTTACCTTATGTGGCCTCATAAGTTAAATATATTGGATCTTCTCTCCTTCTCTTGCAAGAAAACCATGCACTTCACTTTCTTTTGTGAGAACTCTCGGCCTTCTGCTTCTCTACTCTTTTGCCCGTCTTTGTCCCTCTTCATCTTTACCTTTGTGGTAATTGATATTGTGTGATTGCCTACCTTTGTGGTCTCCTATGTGGATAATCTCTTGGTGACCGCAAGTGGGAAAAACTAGGCATTGTCTTGGGTCGATTTTGTTTTGGTTGTGGTGAAAATGGAAGAAGAAACTGAGCCTCGCAAACACATTGGTGGTTAATCCTTTCTTCACATCTAGTATTAGAGCATGGGTGGTGAAATTCGGCCAAAAATTCGCCCAAAAGTCGAGAGAAAGGGCATATTTTTCTTTGCAACCGAATCTAAAATCTCCTAATTCCAGCCAAACGTGACCTCTGTTGGACAAACAGAGGCCTGAACCATAACCAGTAGACTGAGTGCCTCTGGTGATGGGGTGCGTGGCCCGGTGCGACAATGGCACGTGTGGCATTTTCGACGAGCTCTTTTCGAGTAGAATACTTATTTTAACTCCTAAATATACTGATATTGTTTGTTTAGTGTTTCAGGTTACATGGGAAAACTTGGATGATTTTGCCCTTAGATATCAATCTGCTTTTGTAGCTGATCGGCATTGGTATATTTGCTGAATCTTTAGGGTGAATAGGTGGTGGCCTTAAAGCAGTAAATTCACATCTCTCGGCTTTACAAACTCAAATAGGTCTGCTCTGGTAAATTGGCTTAACCTGTTTAATTTCCAGCATTAGCACGTTACTGTGTAGGGTGATAGTAGGGTTGGGGTTATCGTGAAGGGGTAACATTGCTTGTACTAGAAATTATTATTACTTGCTCTTAATTGTTTGATTGAATACTTGTTTTTGTTAAATTAGCATATTGTTCTTGGTGTTATAATTGCCGTAAAACTTGTTATCTATTAGACATATCTATTTTTGTTGCATTGTCATTTTCGCTTCTTATTAATTCCATTTGAATACCTAGACTTTATCAGTTCGAAAATTTACTTGATCTAAGATCACGAGTTTTACGAAACCCTGGAAATTTAGAACGGAGTATATTGCCTATGACCCTAGGACTACTTTGTGTGGTTTGACTGTGTTTTGTGCATTTTTGGTTGTTTTGTGAAAATGACAACTCACAACTTCGATTTGGAGATTTTTAACGAAAAATGTTATTTTTTAATGTGGCAACAAAAAATGAAGGATATTTTCATCCAACAAAAAGTTTCAAAAGCCATTAAAAGCAAATTTCCAACTAATTTTTCAAAAGAATAAAAGGAAGAAGTCGATGAGCTTGCTCGTCTGACGTCGTTTTAACAAAGGTGAGTAAATTGAAAACTACCAAAGAACTTTGGAAAAAATTGAAAGATCTATATTTGCTCAAATCTACCCCGAGCAAGCTTTACTTACTTGAATGTTTCTTTAGCTTTAAAATGGATCCTTCAAAGGATCTCGATGACAATTTCGATGTGTTTAACAAATTAGTGCAAAATATTGTTAATTGTGATGAAACAGTATCTGAAACTTATAAGGCCATAATCTTGCTCGATTCTATGTCTGACTCATATAAGAAAGTTAAACATGCTATTAAGTATGGTAGGGACATTTTGACGTTAGAAATTGTCATAGACTCTTTTAGGATTAAGGAGATGGAAGTTAGAACTGAAAAACATGATAAGAAAAGTGGTGAAATACATATGATGCGAAATAGAACTCAGTTTAAGCAAAACAGTCATGATGGATACAAAAATAGTGACGAGTCAAGTAGTAACGGATGAAGAAGAAGGGCAATGGTAGGTCTAGATCAAAGTATAGAACGAAGGTTAGAAAATACTATGGATGTGGGAACACAGGACATTTTATAAAAGATTATTATAAAGAGAAGGGTAACCTAAAGGTTAAAGAGAGAGACGAGGTTAACGTGTTGTCTTCTTCTTTCGATGTTGATGACGGTGAGGTTTATACGATTACAAGTCCCGTTGCGCATATTTCTAAACCGAATCTAACTACTAATTTCAGCATGCATGAGTGGATACTTGATTCTGGTACATCTTTTTATGTGACATCTGAAAAGAATTGGTTTGAAAACTTGCACAAATCTAATACTAGGCATGTTGTGCTGTATGATAATTTCACCTATATGATTGCTGGAATTGGTGACATTAATATAAAGTTTGACACTAGTTTTGTGTAAACCTTAAAGGACGTTAGATATTTTCCTGAACTGTCTAGGAATTTGATTTCAGTAGAAAGACTTAAAAAGGACGACTTCCTCTGATGTGTTTACCTTATCTAATTCTTGTGTTAGTTGGAAATCACAGTTACAACACATTGTTGTACTATCCACAACAGAGTCAGAATATATTGCTACCACTGAAGCAATTAAAGAGGCTCTGTGGCTTAGAGGTTTACTTCATGAACTATGTGTCTTGAATGATTATGTGATAGTGTATTCTGATAGGTAGTCTTCTATACATTTATGCAAAAATCCTGTCTTTCACAAATGCACTAAAAACATTGATGTTAGATTACATTTCATTAGAGATATTGTATCACAAGAGGTGGGAAGACTTGAAAAAGTCCATCCACAATACAACCCTATAGACATAAGCATGAAAGTGCTGCCACTTGTAAAGTTTAGAAGATGCAAGGATCTTCTAAACATTGGCACAGGTAAATGGTTTTCAATTTTATCGGTTCACTTTTTAGAGGTGTCACTAATTAAAGATATGTTTTCTTTGCTGTCCTTTAACACCAATGTGGAGGTTGTTGGGCAATTATTGTCAAACGACCTTCCATACTATGATGTTAATTTGAATTAATTTCTAGTCGACTTTGGCAAATGACTAAATGGAAAATATAGCACTACAATCGAAATGACCCAACCCGAAGTTTAATTGAGTCATTTGAAGCAACCTAAAGATTTTAGTGCTATTCATGGCCCAATTCACTTGCTTGGATGACCAACATAAGAGAAGCCCACTTGACAAACCATTTATCTATTGATTGGGTCTTACTTGACCCATGATTTACCCTGTTGTGATTTACCTTATGTGGCCTCATAAGTTAAATATATTGGGTCTTCTTTCTTTCTCTTGCAAGAAAACCATACGCTTCACGTTCTTTTGTAAGCACTCTCGGCCTTCTGCTTCTCTGCATTTCTTCCCATCTCTGACCCTCTTCATCTCTACCTTTGTGGTAACTGATATTGTGTGATTGCCTATCTTTGTGATCTCCTATGAGGATAATCTCTTAGCAATCGTAATTGGGAAGAACTAGGCATTGTCTTAGGTCGGTTTGTTTTTGGTTGTGGTAAAATTGGAAGAAGAATCTGAGCCTGGCAAATACCTTTGGTCAATCCTTTCTTAATAATGGAAGCAATCTTTTTTTATCTCAAAAACAGTCTTAGGTGTGTGTAATCTTGGCACAGGATAAATATTGGTTTTTTCACTTTTATGTTTTAACATTCCATTATTCAATTCATTACTAAGGAAGTCTACATGACTTACGGTCTTGATAAAGAGAAATATGACCAATAGTGGTTCAGATTGCTCGGGACAAGGGGTACTTGTGACATTTCGGCATGGGACGACGGCTCTTCTAGGGGTCCCTCATCTGAGATCCCTGGGGATGCTTTTGTTCATTTCCTATTTTATCCTCTCTAAGTTCATTGTTTGTGGACAACAAAAGGACAGGACATTTCCCTTATGTTTTCCACTAGTTGGGTTGAGTTGATTTGGCCTAATATTTTCTTAAGCAAGCTTCTCAAATACATTCATCTTTCTTTCTTACTGTACATGAGGCAAACTATCTATTCTCTCTACAAAGGAACCCTGACAAACCGAGAGACTTTAACTGACTTTTCATCTTCTCTATGTGTACCAATTATTTTTAGAAATTGTCCACATCCTTTTGATTTTTTGTTTATATGTGTTTATTAAGTAAGCTGTATGATACCCTCAATGAGTCTAGAAGGGGTTAGGGTTTGGGGGTTTACTATATATTTCAATATGATATTTTGTGTTGAAAACTAGGAATGGCGACCAAACAACCAAAGCCCGCAACTTAGGACACAGAGATCGATCTATTTGAAGACAATGATGAGTTCGAAATCGATCAAGGTAATTTTTTAGGATATCTACGTGCTCTTTCTGTCATTGTGCCTTTTTCCTATAAAAATTTTAATAATTATGTTTGGATTTACTTGAGTGCGTGAAGTTTATCTGTTTATTTGGATTAGTTTCAAAGAAATATCTTATTCCCTGATTCATATGAGGTATATCTAGATTTGAATATTTATAAATGGTTTGGAAAAAATCCATTAGTAATAATACGCAAAAAAAACTTTATACACTTGGTATGACAAAAAGTGAGATTCTCAATCAAATTCCAATATATCCATTGTTCCCTATATATAGTAGGAAACAACTAAAGAAATGGATAAAGTAATAGAAAACCTATAAAATAACATCCTACTACTTTTTCTAAAGTAAGTACATAAATGGATATGCTTTATTTTACTCGTGCTGGGAACTGTTATAGGTGAACATAAATGTAGTATATTTTATAGTTTCAATTTTTGCTGTCTTTATTTTTAATGATGATTGAGGCTTTCATGTGGTGATTTCGACCGAGTTTTGAAGAGATTATTGATCAATTTTGTAGATTTTTTTTTTCATTTGATTCAATAGTTGGGAGATAGTTGAAAAATGTGCGAGCAAAAGGAAGAAATTTGTGAGCTAGAAACCTTGTGCTTGCTCTAGCTATTGAGGAGAAGCCCCAAACCCAGATCTCTCACCCCATAACAAGGTATCCCCTCTCTTATATACACACATTAATTCTTTGGCTTTGTGCATGTAGGGCATAAATGAACTAATAAATATTTGTTTTTAGGAGTTTTAGTGCTCAATTATTGACAAATGCACAAGCAGCACCTGAGAAGAAAAGTAAGGTAAATTCCTGAATTTTCTAGAGTTGAACAAATTTTTAGATTATTTACATGTATATAGAATAAGTAGTATTCGATTTCTGTTGCTAATTTGCAGAAACCGCTAGGAAAAGTTGTCAACGGAGTTGTGGGGAACGAAGGCGCTCCAAAAGTTAAGCTAAGAATAATGAATTTGTAAAACTAAAGAAGGAAGATGTAATTGTCATTAGTGCTGTTGACGACGAGAAAAGCTAGAGGAGTACAAGAGAATCATCAAAGAAGACAGGAAAGACTCTAACTGTTGAAGTCAATTCCGAAGCCACAGTGTAAAGTTTAATGTACTCTTAGCGTAAAATTAGGAAAGGGTGAAGGGGAACTTGTCCATCAAATGATTGAATATAAGTTACTACTTGCTCATCGATTTTTAAAAAGTTATTTGTTGCTCACTGAACTTTGTTATATGTTACTACTTACCTATCGAAATTTAAAAAGTTACTCATTACTCACTTAAATTTAAATAAAATTACTCATTGCTCATTAAACTTTGCAATAAGTAACACTCATGGAAATGATATGAGTAATTGATAGGTAACTTTGTTCAAATTTGGGTGGGTAATAAGTAACTTTTTAAATTTTAGTGAGCAAATAGTAACATATAATAAAAGTTAGTGAACAAAGAGTTACCTTTTAAATTTCGGTGAGCAAGTAGTAATATAGAGCAAAGTTCAGTGATCATTGATTAAATTAACTCTTGTGCTGAATTTTAAATTTCTTTTCAATTTCAGGAAATGAAATTGTGAATTACAAATTTACCTTTTCATTTCTTCTAGGAATCAAAGTTCAAGGGCAAAAAGAGGGGATGGAGAATTGGAAAAGAAAAACAACGAAAAGCAGAAATTATTGGCATCTCTTTTTTGCCATTCCACTACCCATTTATGTAAGATTTCATCCATAGGAATATTGAAAATATAACATGTAACAGTTAATTAGATTTAAGCTACACAAGCTTTCAAAGATATACATGTTCTATAGTACTCGCCCTTACGCATGGCCTGTGTGTAAGATTATTTGAAGTGTTTGCAAGTCTACGAGCGAAAAGTCATTGAAAAAAAAATAAAAAAAATTAGCTGCAATTGGTAAACTGCTCTTGTCTCAAGCTTAGTTAAGCAAATAGTACACGTTCTGCAATTCATAGAATCATGACACATTACATTTATTTAGAGGTAGGATTCTGATTTCTTCTATGAATTACATTTTTATACCTTCTTTGTACTTTTTTCTCAACTAAAGCGGAAACTAATTATTTTATATAGTTATCTTATTTGTGTTTTCCTTTTAAATAGGTAAAAGTGCTCACATTCTATCAGTCAAAAGACAATAATGATCTCGACAGTACTATATTCAACGATAAAACAATGAGTTTTTGGTAATGAGTCTTTGGGACCCTTTTTATTTCTTTATTATTTCCATTGAAAATGACAATAGTTCTCTTTTTTTATTAAATTCGATTTAACTTCCAATTATTTTGTGTAAAATTATATAGGAAGATATGACGAGGAAGAAAAGGATACTATAGCTTATGATTTAGAAACATTGAAATACTAGGGATCTACTAGAACTACAAATTTTTCATGAGTTCTTCAATATTTTCATTTTCGTCAAAATATTGAAATATTTCTTCGAGAACATTTTCTCAATATCCTTCCAGTTGTCCTGCGAGTAACGTGGCAATCAACAGGGTCCGAGGACTAATAATAACTCATGTCGGAATATATCTACCACACCATGTATCCTCGCATGAATAGTTATACATTGCACTTTCAAAAGGAAATTCTATGAAAACTACGAACGTTTTGGTCGAGTCGGATACTCCTAATCACACAAAAATATTGTATACAGAAAGATCATTGAATAAAAAGTTCATTCCATGTAACAATTTTTATTAACTATTTTTCATATTCACACTTTCAAATATTACTTTTATAGTACTTATAAAGTATTTTAGAATAATGTGCAATGCATGTTCAACTGTGTCTAGTAAACTAAAGTGACATAATGGATAGTAAAAGTTAATAAGTACTTTCAAGAAACTTATACAATTAAATTATTAAAAAAGATAAATTCAAAACAATGTAAAAAAATTTTGACATTATATTATTTTATGTTTTCAAAAATTGGTGGTGAAATTAATTAAATGCATAAAAATCAATATAAATTTAGATTGTTACAAGATTATTTTGCAATGACTCTTTAGAACCTAGCTCAAGTTTAACCTGCTCCAATAATGTCCAAAACTGTCGTTGGCCCCAACGTTAGTTCATATATAAAGATTGTGTATCTCGATTGGTCACGAGATCTTCTAATGCATTACAAAAGTTGAGTAGTACTTTGATCTAGCGATTTGAAGGATCAACTTTTAAGTTTAATTCATCCTATTTTCCAACCAAGCCTTTTTTTCTAAAATTTCGAAGTAGCCTTTAATTTATCAATATTTTCCTTCTTAGGCATTTTCTATGTTTTCAAATGTCAGTACAATTTACTGAAATTCTGCACACAGGTTTCTGAATTTTAGGCTATTCAACTTGCTCCCTTATTTTATAGAATGTTCAAAGCAATCCTAAAGTATCTGATTGTGAGACTCGAACCGTAGTTGTATGCTTCCAGAATTTTATGATATTGGAAAGTCGTGTTAGTGAAATTGTAACTCTATTAAAATGACACTTTCAACTGGATGGAGACACGTGGCGAAACCATGGGTGTTGGATTGAATCTGGAACCTTCTATTATTATCATGCCATTTCACTTGGCACGCAATTACTCCCATATCGCTTTTGACTCTTGGTTCTTTGTGAGAGAGAGAAAAACCCCTCGTCTGGTTAGGGTTTCTTCTGTTCGATTTTTTGGCTTAAATCTCTGATTTGAGGCCTTAAACGTGAAAGTCTTAGTGATTCGGTTAGATATTCTGAGCGATTATCTGTAATATCTTTTGTCCTCTTGATTTGTGATGTTGTGAGAGGGATGCAGTGAAGTGTCTTTGTGATTCTTCAAAGGTGTTGAGTCGATCTGGAGAGATAAGTATCATTGCTTTATCTCGTTATATTTGTCAAACATTTGTAACTCTTCATTGCCATTTTTGGCTACTATAGTGCAACCGAGTGTAATCCAACTTGTTGGATGCTCAACGAGGGATGTAGGCGTTAGATGTGGTCGTCGAACCTCCGGGCTTAGGCCGAAAGAAATCTTGTGTTGATTCTTTAATTTTCTGCACTGTTTACTTTTGGCCGATTTCGATTATCTTGCTTCTCGATTTAATATTGTGTGACCTTTGCCTTACATTGGTATCAGAGCCACACTGAGGAGCATGATACCCGGATCTTGGAGAGAAAAGTGGATCTTCGATAGATCTCTGAATTTTTGGAACTGCTGAAAAGTAGATTTGAACTATTTTGAGTTATTAAACTCACTGGGTGAGATCCTTTCAATTTATTGTATATTGCACTTGAGAAATTTGTGTTTCTTGAACTTTCCCGGATTTTCCAGTACACTGTTGAAACCCCCTTGAGACAAATCTTTGTCCAGTGGCCTCTATGAAGCCTCTGGAATCTGAGATAAATCAAGTATGGGTGTGTAACTTGGGAGAATCTTGCTGGAGGGATCTGTGAAATCTTATAATTTGATCTCAGTAATTGTTTTCTATTGATTGATCTAGCCTACTCTTTCTGTTGATATTTTTAAGATTAGTGAAATCTTGTATTACTTTGTGATTTACTGTGATTTCAAATCTGGACCTTGGGGTTCCTGTTTCAACTGTTCTGAATTCTTGCTAATCCTGTTTGTGATAACTTGCATGCATTATGGCTACTGCAAAATTTGAAGTGAGCCAATTTGATGGTAAAATTGATTTTGATACGTGGAGTCAGAAAATGAAAGCCATTTTGATGCAAATGAAATGTGCTAAGGCATTAGATGATTCATGGCTTGAGGGTTTAGCACCCAATAAGAAATCTGAACTTCAAGAAATTGCCTGGAGCACTATATTCTTGTACCTATCTGATAATGTGATCAGAGAAACCACCACTGCCTCTGATCTTTGGAAAAAACTCAAGGCAAAATATGAGACTAAAACTACTCCAAATAAGTGTTTCCTTTTAAAGCAATTCTTTTCTTTTAAAATGAATCTTGCAGTTGACTTAGAAGAAAATTTGAGTAGATTTACAAACTTACCCAAGATTTGGCCGATTGTGATGAAAAACTTTCAAAAGATCAATTGGTTGTAGTCCTGTTAAACTCCATAAGCGATAAGTATAAGGACATTAAAGTTGCACTTGAATATGGGAGAGACGAACTTACACTTGATGTTATAAATAATACTTTGAGGAATAAAGCATTAGAGATCAAGGTTGAGTCAAGTAAGAGTCACACTGGCACTAGTTTTTTAACAAAAGGAAAAACCTTTTAAAAACCTACTCAAAACTTTAAGTTTTCAAAAACTAACAAAAATTGGACTGACAGGAATAAGACCAAAAATAATGCAAAAGGTAAGAAATGTTATTATTGTGGCAAACTAGGTCATTTTGCAAAGGATTGTTTCAAAAGAAAAAAAAAATTGATGGAAGTAATGCCTTGGCCTATGATAAAACTAAAACTGAAAATGGTTTTGTTTTGGTAAGTACTGAAAAAGTCAAAGTGATGAATGGATACTTAACTCAAGTTGTTCCTTTCACATGTGCCCCAACAAAAATTGTTTTATAAATCTGGAGAAAACTAAGGGGGGGCAGGTTATAATGGGGAATAACTTTGCCTGCAAAGTGATTGGAATCAGGACTGTCAAATTGTTATTGGAAAATGGTAATGTTTTGTTCCTTGAAAACACAAGACATGTCCCGAATTTGAAAAGGAACTTAGTGTCCTTTGGAATTTTAGATGATAAGGAGTTTAACATAATCATGGGTAAAGGACATATAAAAATTCTTAGGGGGATTGACTTGGCCACTTCAGTCCCTAAGAAACATGGTCTCTACTGCTTAAATACTAAAACCTTAATTGGATTAACTGCTTCTGTCATGTTTGAAAACTTTACTTTGGCTAAATTGTGGCATCAGAGACTTGGTCATATTGGTAGAAAGGGATTAAATCTCTTACATTCGAAAGGTGTATTTGGAAATCATAATCTTGGTGATTTTGGTACTTGTGAACATTGTATTTTTGGAAAACAAGTTAAACTTCCTTTTCCAACTGGAATTCATAAATCCAAACAAAGACTTGAATATTTACATGCTGATTTGTGGGGTCCTGCCTCTATCTCCACATTGATTGGTTTTAAGTATTTTTTGCTTATAATTGATGACTTTCCAAGGAAAGTCTGGGTACACTTACTGAAATCAAAAGATGAGACATTTTATGTTTTCAAGGACTGGAA